TCTTCCGACATCATCCATCAACAGCAGCCACCGCTCCCGTTGCCACCAACTCGTCATTGGATCCCAAATATCTTACCATCACCGGTTCACAGCAAATAGTACATGCACTGGCGATCCTTGAAGACAATTGCACATTTCCCTTCTCTGCAGAGGAACACACATTTTCTCTTCAGAAAGTAATACTAATACTAGTAATAGTTTTCGGCTCGAGTGCTGCACGCAGCGGTGCCGCTAGCCGCTAGCATAGCGAAGTACACGCACGTGACACGCGAGATTACATCATGCACTCTCCGTCGCGACTTGGGACCCGAGTGCCGGGTGCCATTTTTCGAGCTCCCACGCGTACATTCGTCGCGACAAAAAAATCACGTAGTCGGGCTCCTTTCAACACCCATAACTCTCTTCCAGTTGCTCTAACCCAGCCCAAATTTTAGATTTGAACGCCTGAAGCTCTAAGCTTTCCGTAGATACCCAATTCGATAGGGTTTTCCAAAATTTAATTTTCGCCTGACCTCGCTATTCTCACCTCTACGCGCCAAAAACTTTTGAACTCTTCCCGCCACTTTTCCTGCCACCCTCTTCTTGCACTGAGCTGAGACGCAAGTCCCTGGGAACTCCCCCTGTGAAGCACCTGCATCAGACTCAGACTCAGAGGCTAGATCTAGACGTCATGTAGAACAGAAGCTCCAAGCTCAGCTAGCTGGACATGTTATGAGTGACACCATGCCATGGTCAGCCACAGTGTGTCAAGAGTCATACTGTCATGACTGTCTAATCATGTAGATCTACAGAATGATGTCATAGTCATTGTACATGACTGCATGCTTGCACTGGCTGACTGACACAGTGATAGGCACCTGCGGATTCTGCTGGAAAAGGTGGCAGATTCTGCTCGAAAAGCAGTGAAATTGGCAGAACCATACAAACCTTATGGTCGGCAATTCCTCGAATTCTGCTCCCTTTCTTTATCCACATACCAAACATGCATGAAACTTATCAGAAAAAGTATCGAATTCTGCCAATTTTTCTGTCGGCATTATCCGCCAGTGCCTACACAGTGACAGTGTGTATGACTATAGTGTTGCCAGTCTCTGTACACATGCACCACCCCGCCGCATTGACAGGAGTGAGAGGATGATAATCAGTGCAATTGTCATACATGTACATAATAATATTGTTATAATCACACATCATGTGTATACCCGATGCCTGTGTATACCCGATGCCTGTGTATACCCGATGCCTGTGTATACCCGATGCCTGTGTATACCCGATGCCTGTGTATACCCCCCCCCGAACACTAGTAATGACTACAGTCCATTCATTGGAAACTGGCACCCTAACTTTTTGGTGTCTCTCACATAGTTGTAGATATCGTGTAAACAACAGTACATCCTGCATTGTGTGACCCATGCAATTACTCCTTGACACATTTGAGGCCAGAAAAGTCCAAGAACAGGGAAATAGAAATTCAGCCAGGTTTTACAAAATTGGGACAGGTATGCCATGGGAAGATGTATGGAGAAGCAGATCCCAAACCCAGATTTTTGAGATTTGAAGTGGGTTTTTATCCTCAATTCGGCCCAAATCGGACTTTCAAAAGCCAGCAGGACTGTTTCCGATGAATAGTCTGTAGGTATGTAAATGCACATACTAGTACAGTCGACCTACCCTTATAACGATAACCCCTATAACGATATTACCCTTATAACGATATTTTTCTGTCAAACCAAATCACTCCATTGACTTTTGTATACAATGCCTTACCTCTATAACAATATTGCTATAGCGATATTACCCCTATAACAATATAAATTGGGCTGACCAATTGACATTTTCCATTTTATAACAATATCCAGCAGGGAGTATGTAGAGTCCACTGTCAAGGTAGGGCAAGTTTCACTTGATAAGTCGCTGGGACATGACGAAATGCAATGGGGGCACCAGTGGGCACCTTGCCATGTACATATTGTGCATGTACATAAGTTTTTGACTGTATGAAGAGTGTAAAAAAGAACGAAATTCATGCATTATGACGTATGTGTATGAATGAACCAGTTACCCTTATAACAATATTACCCTTATAACAATATTTCTTGGTCGGACGCAAATATCGTTATAAGGGTAGGTCGACTGTAGTAGTACTCTGAAGTACTGTACATAAAGGTCACACCTCTCTATGGCAAGTGCAGGTGATTGTATTTCGGGCACCCCAGTCTACAGCCAGACACCCCAGTGACACCCCAGTCTACAGCCAGTACAGGCACCTCAGTCTACAGACACCCCAGTCTACAGGCACCCCACGTGACCCCAGTCTACAGGCATCCCAGTCTACAGAGTACAGACACCCTGTGGGTGAGTGTCAGTGACTCTCTTGCTGTTGCGGAAATAATCATGTGCCAGATCTCTGGTCTGCTCCATTGAAACGAGCATGTGTGTGTGGGGGGGGGGGGGGGGGGGGGATGGAGAGTTCTGGACCTTTCAAAGATAGGCAGTGCCCTGTCCCTGGACCAAGATATGAGTGAAATCGTACACTGCATTATCATCATCATCATCATCATGGAAACGGCCTCGTGTACGGGCTTGAAACGGTGATCACCGAGATTGTGTGCAAAAATCGGGGACAGGTCAAGCATCATCATCGTCGTCGTCGTTGTCGTCGTCGTCGTCATCATCATGGAACAGCCTCTTGTACGGGCAAGCAAAAACGCAATACATCAAAATTCGATGAAAAGAGAGGAAAACGAGCTCAATATGAAAAGTAACGCGAAGTGCAGTGCAACATATGGAACACAATGAGCACAGGGCCACCAATCGGAGAAGACCTCATACAAAAAATGACCCAAACCCAAACAAACAAGAACAAGCATCATAGAGAAGGGCCTCTTTTACGGGCAATCCAGAGAAAACTGAATAGATTATCATCAATGAATATGTCAAAATTACCCGCCACGGGCGCCGCGATGTCTCCATGACCGGCCGCCGCATGTTTTACCTGACAATTGTCCAGAGTACCTTGGACTATGCCAGCACATGTTATGTTCACTGCTTGTCTGCTAAACTCAGAGACAAACTTGAGTCAACCAGCAATAGGTGCCTAAGGCGAGTGTTTGGCCATGATCAGTATACTTCAATCGATTTCATTCTCACCAAATATAACCTGTATACTTTCTCTCGCCATGTAAATTTGAAGCTGTTTGTGTTTGTTTTTAGGTGTCTATCTCGTTGCACCAGTCCTCTTTTAAGCACGATAGTAACCCCCCGCTCTGCATCATGCCGCACAAATGCTGCTACCCGCGGTCAAGCTTCAGCCGCTCTGAACCTACCCGGAGCTACGTCTCGTTACGGCCTGAATGCTATTTCATTTTTGGCAGCAGACAGATGGAACATGCTTCCACCTGGATGTCGTCAAGCTAAGCCCCTTTCTGCATTTGTCACAAGCACCAAGTCATTCCTAGGGTTCCCAGTAAAAAGGCAACGCCTGTTGGGAGTTCCCTGGTAAAATAATAAATTCTACTACTGCTACTACTACTACTACTACTAATTGTCAATATAGTCAGGAAACCATTGAATTGTTAAATTAAGAATATTATTGTGCCAGATAATTGTTGGATGATTGCTGATATTGTACCAAAAAATATTGTCTATTGTAAGATATTAATCCCACATAATTATTGAAGTGACATGTGATATTCTGCTCGGGTCAAGTGCAATGCACTAACGAGCCTGACGGCACTGAGCAACAAATGAATTCAAACGTCTTTTGTTATACGAGCCACGGCATCCACGGAAGCAAGTAGTTGCCCATTGCAAAAGGCAGAATGATAATCGGGTACGCAGCATACCCATGACAGCGGGGTATTTGAGATCATTATGGCGCTCTACAAAATGGGAGGCCTAAGACTTCAAGAACTGATTAGTCTCAGGTCCACTGAATCCATATGTAGAAAACACCAGTGGGGTGAATGAGCCACGCTCAACAATCATCATCATGGAAACGGCCTCTTGTACGGGCATGAAACGGAGATAACCGAGATTGTGTGCAGAAATCAGAGACAGGTCAAGCAGTGAAAATCATCAGATAGATATTCAAGTAAAAATATGACATTTTTAAAACAGTCATCATCATGTTAACGGCCTCTTGTATGGGCTTAAAACGGTGATAACCGAGATTGCACCATAAGGAGATCCCCCCATAAGCCAAGCCTTTCGACGTAGTTTTGGGCTCGTTGTAATTATGCCTCCTGCACAGCATATTAAAATTTAATGATTATTTTTGTGAAACGTACACGGAATGATTTCACAACTCGCGTAGAAACGGAGACAAAACACAGAATTCCCCAGAAGCATCTCGCCTGTCGAGGGAGTCTCCACAGTGCACAGAGAGTGCATGTTGCTTCCGTATGTAATCATTGCTCCATGATCATATGAGCTGCCGTGCCAATCATTTCGTAAATCAATTTCGTCTTCTGCGGATGGCATCCGCAGAAGATGGAATTGATTTACGATGCGGATGCGTAAACATTGCAGCTGCAGAAAAATGGAGAGTTTGAGCGTTTGTGCATGAGTGTTTTTATAGATTTCATCTCCGATTTGAAATATTCACGGCGAGCGATATTTCGTTCCAGAGTAATGGCTGTTTGTGCAGTAAACTATCCAGTGCGTACGGTATGTGTATGTGCACTGTACCAAAATAACAGCGCGGGTATATTCGTCATACCACAAACGCATCTGGTCTGAATCATCACTATACAGTCATCTTTGCGTACAACGACACTCGGCGGTGCATCAGAAAAGTGACTTTATTCGCAAAGTGTCTTTGTACCCGAAGTCTCATTTTATGTATTACAGTTAGATGGGACTTTGCTTTGGGCATGGAAATTCTGTCGTTATTAGCGAAGTTGACTGTACTCTTCATTAACTTGGAAAGGGTTAAAGCTCATTTCCTCAATTTGTTTCCATTGGTGCTCATTTACCCTTCCTGTTGTAACTGTGTCCAGGTGTCAGCGTGTCCAGGTGTCCGCGGAATCAAAGCAGCCATGTCTTCAATGAGTACGACGTATCACTTCGGTAGGTACCAGCCATTGTCTTCTGCCATTCTGTGTGTGTGTGTGTGTGTGCGTGCGCGCGCGCGTTAGGCATTTCCCAAATCGGCCGGCCGAAAAATTCGCCGAAAACTGTGGTTTTCAAGATTTTGTATCACCAATCTTTTCGCCGAATATGCAATTTTGGGACTGAATTCGCCGAAAATCAATGTGTTTTTGTGCCTCAACATCATGCAAATACAATCCCTGTAACCATTACGCTGTGAAAGGTGACTGCGACTTTAGGCATTACTGAAATCGGTCAGCGGGAAAAGACGACGAAATCAATGGCTGTGAAAAAATCGCTGATAATTGAGCCGAATTTGCAAATTTCGCACTGAATTCGCCGAAAATGGATGTTTTCGTGCCTCTAAAGCATGCAGGTAAATGTACACTGTATTACAAGTGGTGCTGCTTTGAGCCGAATTCTGACTTTGGGGCTGATATTATGGCCGAATTTGGACATTCTCTTAGCCGGTTGAAAAGCCGATTAGGCGAAAAAATCGGGCCGATTTGGGAAATGCCTAGTGTGCGTGCGTGGGTACGTGTGCTGGCAGGATTGCATTGTGTCCGGTCTAAGAGTTCGTGGCCTCACCAAGGACTGGTATCCTACCGCCCGTGAGTCCCGCGCTGACTGACGGGCGATGTATGCCGAGCCTGTGGAGAATGCGCCGCAGCCTGGCCCAATGGACTGCGGACTGCGCAAGGCTGCGGTCGTTCACCGGTGCTCGAGGACTGGTCCCCGCCCGACTGCCCAGCAGCGTAATTCGTTCACTCGTGTATGTGTGTGTTTTCGCTGTTTCCGTTTGCTCCACCATCTCCGGCTGCGTGCTCCATCTTCCTCTCTGATGCCCCTCCGGGGCCCACGTGACCCTGTGGCAGCGGCTCTACAGTTGTGTGTGTGGGGGGGGGGGGGCACGTGACCCCTGTGGCAGTGGCTCTACAGTTGTGTGTGTGTGTGTGGGGGGGGGGGGGGGTGGTACATGTGGTAATTTTTATTTCAGATAGCTGCACCGTACCGCCCTAAAAATGCCTTTCGTCGCAGTCGGGATACAGAATGTCGGGATACAGAATGTCGGGATACAGAATGTCGGGATACAGAATGTCGGGATGCAGAATGTCGGGATGCAGAATGTCGGGATGCAGAATGTCGGGATGCAGAATGTCGGGATGCAGAATGTCGGGATGCAGAATGTCGGGATGCAGAATGTCGGGATGCAGAATGTCGGGATACAGAATGTCGGGATGCAGAATGTCGGGATGCAGAATGTCGGGATACAGAATGTCGGGATACAGAATGTCGGGATACAGAATGTCGGGATACAGAATGTCGGGATACAGAATGTCGGGATACAGAATGTCGGGATACAGAATGTCGGGATGCAGAATGTCGGGATACAGAATGTCGGGATACAGAATGTCGGGATGCAGAATGTCGGGATGCAGAATGTCGGGATGCAGAATGTCGGGATGCAGAATGTCGGGATGCAGAATGTCGGGATGCAGAATGTCGGGATGCAGAATGTCGGGATGCAGAATGTCGGGATGCAGAATGTCGGGATGCAGAATGTCGGGATGCAGAATGTCGGGATGCAGAATGTCGGGATGCAGAATGTCGGGATGCAGAATGTCGGGATGCAGAATGTCGGGATGCAGAATGTCGGGATGCAGAATGTCGGGATGCAGAATGTCGGGATGCAGAATGTCGGGATGCAGAATGTCGGGATACAGAATGTCGGGATACAGAATGTCGGGATACAGAATGCACGCACGCGCTTATCTGAACGGAGATGGCTCCGGGAAGAACACGTGCGTCAGCTTGTTCTTTGTGATCATGCACAGTGAGCTTGACCGGCCCTCTGCTGGCCATTCCAGCAAGGAGTCAAACTGTGCCGCTTCTCCACCAGACTCATTTTCACAGTGCCAGCCAAAATCAAGACGTCGTAGAGGTGTTCGGCCCGGACATCCGTAGCTCCTTCTTTCAAAGACCAACCACTGAAATGAACATCGCCACTGGCTGTCCTGAAACAAAATTCATGGTTCGCGTCAGACTCGGCTAGAGGTCGAGTTTTCCGCATCCATAGGAACACCATTACCCAATACTAACGTTAGCTCTGAGCAGGGGGCACTTCACTTGGTAGGAGCTCCCAACAAGATTGACAAGAGTGATATGTTCAATTTGCGACCAAAACCTGAGTTTCTTCATTATCAGATTGCCCCGTACATTTGTGATTCTGCGAATGCAGGACCGCATACGCGCATGTGCAAGACGTCGTAGAGGTGTTTGGCCTGGACATCCATAGCTCCTTCTTTCAACTGAAGACTGAAATGAACATCGCCACTGGCTGTCCTAAAACAAAATTCATGGTTCGCGTCAGACTCGGCTAGAGGTCGAGTTTTCCGCATCCGTTGGAATGCCACCACCCAATACTAACGTTAGCTCTGAGCAGGGGGCACTACACTTGGTAGAATCTCCCAACAAGATTGACAAGAGTGATATGTTCAATTTGCGACCAAAACCTGAGCTTCTTCATTTATATATCAGATTGCCCCGTATATGTGTGATTCTGTGAAATGCAGGACCGCATACGCGCATGTGCCCTTGCCACACCACAAAACAACCTATTTTTGAACACTCATGGTTCAATGCCAATACCGGTAGTTTTTTGATCAAAAGTCAAAAATCCCCGGTATGCTGGTAGTTACCCTAGTTTTCCCGTAGTATACCGGGAAAACCGGTATGGTTGGCAAGTATGGGTAGGGGCGCAATGACACACTGTTCCAGTCAGCCAGTGTGGTATCAACCCTCCAGACAAGGCCTGATGCTGGATTTGACCACTGCCAGGCATGATCCATTGTTTCCTGTCCACCCTGCCGGCCGATGGTCGTGAGCTGTATAGCAGTTGTGCTCGGTGCTGCGGCTCTCAACTCCAGTCAGGCACATACGCACGCACACAGCGCCTTGACACAGGGGCACATGTGCATGTGAGCGTGTAAGTGTGTGTTGCCGCCTAGCGCCTACAGACCCGGCACTCTCCCGGTTTGGATGTCCAACCTGTCCAACTGTTCAGTTTGTCTTCTCTCTTTGAATATCATCATGGTCAGAATGACAGCCCCAGCTCTGACCCTCATTATACCAAGACTATACACACCCCCAAGAGGGTGCAACTCCCCATACCCTTTCTATGGGGTTCGCCGACAGCGAAAACTCACATCACGTGGTGTAGTGTCCCAGTGGTAAGTTTCCAGCCCGCTTTTAGCGAGCAGTGGAGTAATAATAAAAGCACTCCCTGGCAGAAACTCGCTGCGCGTATGCAACTCGCCAGCATGATCATGGGAGGTTTTCGGATTGTGAGCACACTATCCTTAGTTGCACGTACAACTGTAATACAAAACGTACCTGAGACACGTGATGTGAGTTTTCGCTGTCGGAGACCCCGTATGCAGAGTTGCACACTCTTGGTGGGTTATAATATACGCTTGATGATAGTAGGGAGTTGTGTAAGTCTTCTTGTCCGTGGCTAACCCCCATACGGTTCACATGGTGGCAAGACGGCGGGGCTCAGCCAACCAATCGGATGGTTGTGGTAGGGAACACTGTTTTCAACACAGTGCGTCCTCCGCCTTGTAACATGCTGTCAACCGATCAACATGTTTTCAACCAAACAATGCTTGCCTAATACCATGTGTACGTGTGTGCGTGTGCGTGTGTGTGTGTGTGTGTGTGCGTGCGTGCGTATGTGCGTGCGTGCGCGCGCTTGCGTGTGTGTGTGTGCGTGTGTGCGCGCACGCGTGCGTGCATGTGATACATGCATGTCCGGTAAATCTCGTACTTCCTCATCTGCACACAGTGTTCAATGCCTTACTCATGGTGGCAGAGTAGTAAACCCAAGAATGAAGACAACTTGACGAATGTCGCTACTACTTCAATTTTTATGAAAAAATCAAGTATTCATCGCTTGGTTTTTGCTTTTCGCATGAAATTTCGAGTAGCAGCAACATTCGTCTATTGATCCTCATTCTTACGCGTGTAATGTTATGTGATGGAATGGTTGCGCATGACTCCGCTTGTTGGGCTGTGTTGCAAAGTTAGCGGACTTGCTGTGGATGAAAGTCCACAGTCTAGTTAGAATGGTATACATTGTGCGGCTGTGCGTGCACTCTATTGTGATTGGCTAACTGCAGGTTATAATCCCGAGCGAGTCGTCAGCGCCCACAGCGACGGGTTGAAGTGCCTCATCTGTGATCGTCTGCTCCGTCACGCGGTGTTGAGCGAGTGCGGCCATCTCTTCTGCTGCTGCTGTATACAACGCAAGACGAGGTTAGGCAGTCCCAATGCTGAGTTACCTGTCGTAATACAATAGTCTTCTGTGCTCAATCTGCGGACAGCATGCTGTTTTGTCCTTCGTGGACTCATCAGCGCACTACGGAGAAAATGAGGCCAAACCTGAAAGCAATGAAAAGCAATTTCCTAGGCCAGATTTAAACCAAACCCGAATGTACAGTCAACTTCGCTTATAACGACACTCGGCGGGGCATCAGAAAAGTGTCCTTATTCGCGAAGTGTCGTTATACCCGAAGTCTCATTATATGTGTCACAGTTGGATGGGACTTTGCTCTGGGCATGAAGATTATGTCGTTATTCGCGAATTGTCGTTATATCCGCAGTCGTTATTAGCTGAAGTTGACTGTACCTTGCCCCAGTGCTCAAGCACACAACCAGTATTACGCACAGCGGATACCAGTTAGTTGCTCGGTCACTGCAGGAGAACATTTCAAACATTTCAGTTGTTTTTCGTGGAAATGTTATGCTCGGGTGGCGGGTGGGAGGGGGTGGAGGGGGGGGGGGGGGGGGATCTTTAGTCTCTTTGGTTGGATGTAAGCTGTCTGCTCTTAGAGCACTTGCAGGGTTCACGCCATGCCAGTGAGACAGGTGATTCCGTCAATCTTGAATCGAAATAGTGCTAACTAACATGACTAATACCATGCATGCTCTGCACTCTAGATGACTAGGAATCCCGTGGAATGCCTCGGCTTCACGCACCTGTATCGGCTTCACGCACCTGTATCGGCTTCACGCACCTGTACACCTGCCCCTGGTCTGTATTGCTGTGTAGAAAAACTCAGAATTGATCTCGGTTTTTGGTGACTGTGGCTAGCGATGGATGTTACACACAACATTGCACGGATTGTCATATAGGTCACAGCTCAGAAGTTTCTCTGTCTCTCTGTCTCTGCCGCTCTGTCTCTGTCTCCCTCTGTATCTCTCTCTGTCTCTCTCTCTGTATGTCTCTCTCTTTTTCTCTCTTTCTCTCTTTCTCTCTCTGTCTCTCTGTCTCTGTCTCTCTGTCTCTCTCTCTCTCTCTCTCTCTCTCTGTTTTCTCTCTCTGTTTTCTCTCTCCGTGTTTCCTTTCTGTGTCTGTCTACTGATACGTGAAATAATTGCTCACTCAGGGACGCCGCAGCCGGTCTGGCCGGTCCGGCTTTGGCCCGACCACATTTTTCAACACAATGTCAAAAGTGCCCAGAGGGCAGGATTTTGCACCCTAATTTCAATTTTTTTCCCGGGGGAGACCCCAGAACCCCTCCCCCCCCCCCTCCAGCCGGGCCACCTACAACGGCGGTGCTACGCGTGGGTTCACAGGCAACGTTTAGCGCTGCTTTATTGCGTTTTGGGATGAATTGGGTGGACCATCCTGGACAAAAAGTGGTACAACCATGGTCGTAGTGGCCGTACCGTGTGTGACGCGCCTTCATCTACCAGTGTTTGCTTTCATCTACCATGTGTTTGCCTTGAGTTGTGTTTGCAAGCAATGACTTGGAGACTGGACTGGTGAAGCACATGTCTGTTGATGATGTTTTTTTACTGGTGTACAGACTTTCACAACTACAATGCCCAGTGTCAGGATGTGGCGAGTACATCACACAAAATAGCGTATGTTATTATGTGTCCTTGGCACTCCCACAAACACCAATTGTTTTCGTTTTATAGTGTACACCGAACGTGGATGAAGAGCAGCTTGCAATCATGAGCATGGGCGTAGGAACCGGTCCGGCAGGCCCGGCAGTCGCCGGACCAATAATTTTCGATTTATTTTATTTTATTTTATTTTTTACATTTCAACCTTGCTGATGGCTTGTCGACTCTTGTACAGGTACCATGTTTTACATCGACAATGCGGTGTATCATCAGCATGCATATTCTTATTTCTCATATTATTCTGTAGCATTAAAATATGGCCTTTTAGGCCCAATTTTCCAAAAAATCCCGGGGGAGGACCCCCCGACCCCCCTCTCACAATTTCGCCACACCAATATTAAACTGCTTCCTACGCCCCTGATGAGAGATTTACTTTTAAGTAATACAGTGAAAAATTTATGTAAAGAGAAAGGACCTATATTTTATTTACGAGTTATGACTAACAGTCCACCAAGGTATTTCTTAATGTGTACAAGCTCCACTGCAGCCACTTCATTACATGATTCGTGAAAAACCTTACACACACCATCTTCGAATCAAGTGGTCTCTTCGCTGCAAATTACAATATTAGACATACTTAGCAAAAGTACGATAACGCTAACTCTTACGGTACTCACTCCCAGCCGTGACAAAAGACGTTATCGGATAACAGAAAAACGTTACAGAGCTCAAAATAACGGGCCTACGTTCGTTATGGTAATTCTGCAAAAAATGCAAAAACTCGCATTGTTTTGTAACTGGCGGGAGATAAAAAGCACGTGCAGATCGAGATGAGAGTCGAGATTGCTTCCTCTTGTGACATTTAGCTTTTTTGGCGAGTTTTGCCTTTCAGTTGACAATGTCTGCGTCCTCTGCTTCGTGCCTTTCTCCCTCTATCCCATCTGGGAAGTAAAGGACCAGTTCCACGGCACTCCTGAGAAAGAAATTCATCGGCCTCTCCCAGACGTGCTGGAGCTAGAGAACACTTACAGCCTTCGGTGCTGCGTTTAGGAAAGGTTTTCCAAGGACCTGGGAACAGCGAAAACTCATTTTCGCCGTGCTTTTGCTATTCCAGAGTAAAAGACCTCGCCAAGGTATTCTTTCGGAACGACAGCAAACTAATCCCTGGTTCAAAATTTTGAATTTCCCCCACCTGTTTCCACGAAAATTCATATCGCCATGGTTGTCACGACTACTTCGTCTCAACTATAACCTACATTGTGCTAAGGGAAAAGTCAGCTTGAACGATCCGAAGTACGGAGAGGTTTGCGTTTACGTTAGCGTTTTTTTAGCTAAGGATATCTAATATTGCAGCGAAGAGACCATAATTATTATCTCAATCAAATTTTTGGCCAGGAGCCATCATCAGGGTGTGAACGGTTTTTCAGTCCACCAAGGTAACGAGATAATAATTATATAGTCAGATAGTGCGACAACAAGGCACAAAACTGACGGGGATATTGAGACATTCGACGACCTGTGTCTCACTATCTGACTGTATTATTATCTCGTTACCTTGGTGGACTGTTAGTCATAACTAGTAACTTATAGGTCCTTTCTCTTTACATAATACTGTTGGCTCAACATCCGAAGTTTTGTTGAAACAATTGACCGCACTCATTCTAAGGTACACCCAGATCCGTGCTGATTATTCACTGATCCTGGTAACAGAACTTTGCTGGAGTTGTTCCGTCTCACATTCGAGAGCATTCGTTTTAGTCTGTAGAAACCGATATTCACTAAGTCTACGCTACAAGTTTCGTTCTGTTATATCAGTGAGTTCTGTCGTGTGTTTCATCCGCAGTGGCATGCCGACCTCAGCACACGGCAGCAAGTTGACAACATGGAATTCCGATGCGCCGCACAGAAAGACTGCAATTTCAAAGGCAAACTCGCCACAATCGAGGTGAGTGTACGTGAGATTGCGTATGTGTAGAGCTGTTTGGGAGGGGGGGGGGGGGGGGGGGAGTGAGCATATCTTGAGGGCGGTGTTGTTACTGGAAGTGAAGTATGCCAGAGTTCTGGCCTCGCACCACAATGAACTGGCTACTGGGGCTGACACTTCGTAGGCGTGTCCATTCATTGTTTGCATACATGTATGTGCGTGTGTGTGTGTGTATATGTATGTGTGTGTGTATGTGTGTGTGTGTGTGTGTGTGTGTGTGTGTGTGTGTGTGTGTGTATGTGAAAAGACCAAAAATAGGGATTCACTGGCCAGAAAAATCACTTCAAATAGCTGTATGGTGTAGACCAGGCTGAATAGTGACGGTCAATTCTTCAGCCTTGCAAACTGTTGAATGGTGCAATCCCAGCACAAGTTGCTATGGCTTCTGCCGTAGCATTGCTATCATCGCCTCCGGCGATGGGCGTCAAAGGTCAGGTCAGGTGTGTATGTGTATGTGTGCGTGTGTGTGTGTGTGTGTGTGCATGTGAATATGCATGCGTGATTGCGTGTGCGTATCTTGCACCATGCTGCGATCAGGAACACGAGAGCACGTGTCCGTTCATTGAGGTTCTGTGCAGGGTACGTAGCTGTAACGCACGCTATCCGCGTGGCAAGGCTGAGCAGCACCATTCCCGGTGCCAGTACGTCACCGAGCAATGCCGCGCCTGCCAGCTACTGGTTCACCGCATCCATAAGGCATTTCATTTGAACTTCAGGTGCCCCGGCCGACGAAGCCATGGCAACCGCCACAACTGTCAGTCAAGTGCTGACCAGCTGGTGAGTCTTGTCAGCAAATGCTGTGTAGTCATGATTTGAGCCGCAATCAGCGAAAACGACCCTTAGAGGTTTCGTAATTTTTTCGAGAAAAAGGTCGATTTGTGACATTCAACGATTTTTTGATCGCGCTGTTGACTACTTGCTTGAAGTACCGTATTATCTCTAATATAAGCACAGTCTCCAATAATAGCACGTCTCCAATAATAGAACACCTTGGGGCGGCATTCAAAAAATAAAGTGCTCAGTCTCCATTATAAGCACACTGTGTAAATTCATTATCTGTACCGGCGAAAAAAACCCTGAAATGTGTGTGTCATACATGAATTTGGCATGGCAACATGCCTCTGAAATGAGGTTGAAATAATAATGGAACAGTCTCCAATAAAGGAACGTCTCCATTAATAGCACGGGTCGGAGGTACATTGAAAAAATAAAGGACCGTGCTTATATTAGAGATAATACGGTAATTTATTTTCAAGTTGAAGTGGTGTCGAGTGGCGACTCGAGCGTTCCTTGATCTTGTTGCGATGGCTGCGGACGCCAGAACTGTTCGCAGAGCACATGCGGCAGTCATTGTGTACAGATCGCTCGAGCCTGGTGGGGAGTGGATGCTGGAGTAGCCGCTGAAGTTCAGAGTGAGGATGAGACGTCCGTTGGTTCCGACATCGATGTCGACAGCAAGGCGTAATCGTAGCCATCATCTCCTGCTTCGATGCGACTCAAGGTGGCCAATGACTCGTCAGAGTCGGAAGATGAGGAGTCGTCATCTGAGGTAAATTCTGAGTGTGGGGCTAGTGACCATGGCGACGTCGTGTCTTCAGCTGCGCAGGAAGAAATGGAAGACGAGATTGCGGAATGACTCCACGCAGGATGCAGCTGCGAATATGTCGATCATGTCTCCGCACTCGTCTGTTATTCTTTGTCATTCTAGCTGCGTACTGCACTGTTTCAAAGGCATTCAAGCAGCCCACCCAGCTTAGAATGCTGAATAATTATTGTACACATACGTTGTATACATACATTGCACCAATTTGGAGTACATCTTGTAAATTGGTGTATAAACCCGTTTTGAATCGGAATATTGAACTTTTTCTTGGTTGAGGTCCTTCAGTAGATGTGTTTCAACAAATTTCTAACCAAGAAAGAATTTTGAAAATTTTGACTCTAAGCATCTATGTGTTTTGCAGAACCCTTACAATATTGGTGCTGAAATTTGTTAATTGGAGAGCTCTTCCTTGCCACCCCCACCCCCCCCCCCCCTCCCTCCCACCACCACTCTCTCCCAACCATCCTCGAACACGCGTGCATAAACGCACACACACACACGCACACACGCACACACACACACACACACACACACACACACACACACACACACACACCTGGCCTGGTGTACAGCTGCCAAATGCTTGGCCACGCCGCCCCGAGACAGGGGAGAGTAGAAGAGAGAGTTCAAGAGAAGTCAGCACTGCCACTAGGAAGCCGCTCCGCCACGACGCCGTCCACGATTGCAATTGTGTCGCCGACAGCCAGGAGCAGATTTAAAACAGCGATCACAGGTAGCGCTGTGCTGGTTGCAACACGGATGGCTGGTGATTGGTATGCGCTGGGGTGTGGGCGGTGATGCCGGGGCGGGTGTCGTGCACTTGTGCTCAGCAAGTCCACCGGCACTTCGGAACCACCGAAAGCAGGCATGGCATTGACGTGCGCCCGGCTGTTCCGCTACAGGCAGCTGGCGATCAGCAGAACATTTGTGTCGTCCGAGTTCAGATTTACTCTTAAATGTCCGTTTACATATCAAGCAAGAGAGCGGTACCGGGGCAGGACACTGCACACGAGTGCGGTACGCATCTCTCCATTGCTGACGATCCTGGACCAGAGTAAACCGTTCATCAATTTGGCACAGTTTCATGTCTGATTGTATTCTGTCCTTCCGCCGAAGATGAGGTCCCTGAGCTGGTCGGGGAGCGTCAAGCCATCCAAACAGCAACTGCTTAGGGAAACGGTTGTCAGGCATCCGAGCTACACACACACACACACACACACACACACACACACACACACACACACACACACACACACACACACACACACACACACACACACACACACACACACACACACACACACACACACACACACACACACACACACACACACAATACAATACAATACAATAATGCCCATCCGGAGATGATGGCAGGTCCTGAAAGGACCGACAGTGTTTCAGTCAAGCGGAACAGAACTTCGAGTGGCGAGTGAGGTCCTGGCGACGGTGAAAATCTCGGCCGAAGTGGCACCTGAAATCCCGAGACACAGGTTTAGGCGGCTGGATGGTGTTGCAGGCCAGTCTCCACGCACGACGGTCCTCGGCTAGGCTGTACCAGTCATTGATGTGGCGTTCCTCTAGGTCAATCACGATGTTGTCACGCCAACGCTTGCGTGGCCCGTGGCGAGGGCGCGTCTTCTGGAGCTCACCAAACAATACGCACTTTGGTATTCTGTCGTCCGACATGCGTCCGACATGCCCCAACCAGCGAATACGGCGCGTCCTCAGCATCTCCACCTCTGATCGCAAGCCAGCCCGCTCCAAGATGAAGGCATTGGAGAGATGCTCATTGCATTGTTCTGACTTGCTGACGTCCAGGATAAACCGAGCACAGCGGTTGTGGAACACTGACAGACGGCGGGTGTCGGTTGCCTTGACAGCCCATGACTCACAGCCATAAAGTAACGTTGAGAGGACGACTGCAGAGTAAACATGAGTCTTGGTACGCACAGAGATGTGGCGATTTCCGAAGACAGCAGAACGCAAGGCACCAAAAGACCGGGAGGCCTCGGCAATACGGGAAGAAACCTCAACCGACAACTGGCCATCATTAGTAATACAGCTACCGAGGTATGTAAACTCGTTCACGATTTCGATGTCGCCATCTGCCAACGTCAAGCATCCGGTCGGAGAGAGATCAGCATTGATGACCATGCACTTTGTTTTACCAAAACTGATAGTGAGGCCGAACTGGGTAGCGACGGTCACGAACAAAGCGGCAGCAGCATCCATGTCCGTTAATGAATGGGTGTACAACGGGGCGTCATCCGCAAACTGACACTCGGTTATAGTGCATTGAGACAAACAACTCTTGGCAGTCCGGTCGCCAACAAACTTATGGCCGATTTTGTACGAGACTGGGATCCCGGCACATTTGCAAGTAGAACACCATGCATCCATTACCACGGCAAAATACAGATTGAACAACAAGGGCGCAAGGGTGCAACCTTGCCTCAAACCATTGTTGACTGGGAAAGAATCCGAAGAAGCTGTAGACACACACACACACACACACACACACACACACACACACATACACACACACACACACACACACACACACACACACACACACACACACACACACTACTACTATCAATCAGCTACCCCTTGGGGTCACGCCGCCCTCCACTCAGAGAACTGAGCGCAAGGTGAGGGGCAGTGGCGCAAACAAAACAGGAAGTACAGCAAAATGAATTGAAAAAAGGAAATCAAAACAAGCTGCCATATTGATGGAAAGGGACTCACAAACAGAGGAAGGAAATATCACAAACCAGTTGAACAGTCTGCTGTAGGTCCACTATAAGTATAACATGCAACGACTGAAAAAGGAACAAAATTAATGTGAACATGATGTTCTGTTCAACAATAACGTCTGGACGCGTACTGCTTCGGCCTTCATGCACAAGGAAAGCACAATCTTGAGCTGGAGGGTGGGCACCGAACGTCCCACAAGGGCTCCACAAGACGTACTTTCACGAAACGACGAGGAGTATGCGCAGCAAGCTAACATCACTACACCATCGCCGCACGACGACTGGCCACTCAGGTCCAAACAACACGACAAATTCACAATTCCAGCTATCACCGTGCAGGAATAAATTGTTGCGAGTGTGACCTGTATCCTTTCTCATCCAGGAATCAACTTGTTTTGCCGAACGCCACTGCATTGTTACAGGCTGGGGATTGATCCGAGGGCTCGCCACGCCACTGCGGAGGATGCGGAAGGACGCAAGAAGACGGTGACGGCAACAAATTACCCGCCCTGGTCGTCAGCTCACTGAATGTCCTTCCGCGCGAGCGAAACCGGCTGCAAGGCATGAAAAGCCTACTGCCAGTCAATACCCAGGGACGACCCTGACCAGAAGGCCAAGGCCGCCCCGTGGAGGAGGCCAACAAAGAGAAAAACAGGAGCTAACAAATCTGCTTCCTCTCCGCGAAATTTTTTTTCACACACACGCATTGACCTTGATAGGTTACACGGTCCCCATCCGGGGAGAGGGGTAGAAGAGGCTGAGGAGCAGCACTTCTGATGGGGCACTAGATGGGGACGTAGTCGTAACTTCCTGTGCCGTGGGCACTCGAATGGGAAGTCGACCCTTTCTGACACTGTCCTACGTTTCGTGAGGTCACACTTGTGTCTGGCCACATACATACATACATACATACACACACAAACAAACACACACACACACACACATACACACACACACACACACAAGCACACACATGCACACACGCACACACACACACACACACGCACAAACAGAAGTTTGGAGAAGCAAGCACTGGTGTGCGCCACAATGTTGACTTCTGTCTTCCTTACACCTCCTTAAACTACTGTCTACTTTGGTGCGGTATTTCTTCTCATCTTGTTTTCAACATGGTTGTTGTCGTTGCATCTTCTCTATGTGTGTATCACCGATAGCAGTCCGATGCTAGTACATCTTCCACTTGGCAAGAAACGGGATCGAACAATTCCTCTCGACCAAATTCTCCGACCAGTGATACGGACCTGTCTCCTTCGCTACAACAACAGCCACGTCACCAGCAAGCAAGTGAACTACATCTCCAACGGGCAAATGATCGGCAGCAGCCGCAAGTTGAAGTGGTGGAGGTGTGTCTGGCAATTGCCAGCCACGAACACTGCATCACGTCGCAAGCTAGTACAGCGGAAATCGTCAACAACAACATATCAAGTTTGGAGAAAGATAAGGTCACCCATTGCTTTGGCGAAGAAACGTGAGTCCCGAAGGCTTAGATCAAACATCATCGTTAGGGGGGATGTTAAGAATATTGTACCTGCCCTGTACCTGCCCTGTACCTGCCCTGTACCTGTCCTGTACCTGCCCTGTACCTGCCCTGTACCTGCCCTCGTGCAAAGTTTTCTGTGTTTCTCGCAGTTAGAGCGCTCCGAGGTTGGTGCTTTGGGTCGGTTACTGTAAACCGCACAATATTCGCGTCACTAATTTTTCGCGATTTCTTAGAACCAGCAAGTTTGCAATGGCAAAAGTTCGCGAAGCACCGGAGCCACCTACATACACCCACTGTTGAAGCTTGATTTCACGCTGGTTAATATTCGCATTACGGTCTTCTAGCGAAAATAGCGAACATTAATCCATGGTGAATATTAGGCAGGTTACAGTACACACATGCTTTGGTTGTTCACTGGGCTTTGTTGTGATTGGTTTAGCCGGCCACTCTGTGCGTCTCCACTATTGAGACCTAACAAGGTTGTGATTGGTTTAGCCGGCCACTCTGTGCGTCTCCACTATTGAGACCTAACAAGGTTGTGATTGGTTTAGCCGGCCACTCTGTGCGTCTCCACTATTGAGACCTAACAAGGTCGAAACAGCTATTTGTCCAGAGACTGAGCTAATATTAAAATCCATTAGATTAAAAGTCCTCCATGATCGTTTGAATAGGAAATGGGCCGTCGAAGTCTGACGTCACAGCTTCTTGACAACGCGTAGTTACTTGGCCAAGTGGTGACAAACGAAAGTCGCGTCATCTACACTTGTCGTGTTTCCAGTGCCAGCAGCATGCAGTGAACGCAGCTACAGCATCATTTCGACTGAGAAGCGCGCGAGCGAGATTATTTATTTCAAATAAACTGCTACTTGTCGCCGAGCTTGTAGTTTTCACTTTATAGAGAAGGAGAAGCCGTAGCTGATTTTTTGCTTGGCCACTGCTGTGCCTGTACTGTCGTTCGGCTTTACATGTAGTCGCCGGGCAAGAAGTCTCTGTTATTTCTATCGCAGCGATTGTGTGTGGGCAGGCGTGTGTTTACCGCCATATTGCCAGGTGTGTCTTTACCACCATATTTATCAACCATAAGTACAGCTGCAGTGGTGTCTTCGACTTCATTCTTGCAGCGATTGCTGATTTCTTTTAATTCTGAGACCAACCAACTCTGGGCTCGTTTCCTTGTCCAGCGGCAAGCGAAAATCAGAACTCCTATCTCCCAGGTGCTGGTGAACACTCAGCACGAAAACACTGCACGATGGCTTGAGAGCGAAGGAGAAACTTCTTGAAGTAAAACAAAATTGGAACTCGCGATCTTGCACCAGCGCGCCCCAGTCAAAGTGATGCTGTGACCATTGGAAACACGACAAGTGCAGGTGACGCGACTCTTGTTTGTCACCACTTTGCCTTAGTCAAAGTGATGCTGTGACCATTGGAAACACGACAAGTGCAGGTGACGCGGCTTTTGTTTGTCACCACTTTGCCTTGTAACTACGTGTAACTATGAGCTTTCAGGCAGCGTGACGTAGGCACTTTGACAGCCTAATAAGTTCAAAGGTCCTCCGTCATCATGGCGATTGTTTGAATAGGAAATTGAAATCCGGAGGCAGAGAGTATCTCTAGATCTGGCGCATGAGTATCTACAGGTGTGTTCAGATGACAGAAACTAACTACATCCCGTTGTATTGCTGTCAGCGTCATTCCACCGGTATCAGTAGTGGCTGGACGAGAGTGGAAGAAAGCTGTGGTGGCATCTTTGAGAATAGGGATAGCTTTGCAAGGTACCTATTTCCCCATTGTCGAAATTTTGGCCACAAACATTACTTTTTAGTGATGATATGGTTCAGTGTGATCGAATACTAGCATATTGATTTCGGAATGTGTTTGGTAATCTACCTTTCTGCCAGTGCACACCTCTCTCTCTCTCCCTCTCCCTCTCCCTTTCCCTCTCCCTCTCCCTCTCCCTCTCCCTCTCCCTCTCCCTCTCCCTCTCCCTCTCCCTCTCCCTCTCCCTCTCCCTCTCCCTCTCCCTCTCCCTCTCCCTCTCCCTCCCTCTCTCTCTCTCTCTCTCTCTCTCTCTCTCTCTCTCTCTCTCTCTCTCTCTCTCTCTCTCTCTCTCTCTCTCTCTCTCTCTCTGTCTCTCTCTCTCTCTCTCTCTCTCTCTCTCTCTCTCTCTCTCTCTCTCTCTCTCTCTCTCTCTCTCTCTCTCTCTCTCTCTCTCTCTCTCTCTCTCTCTCTCTCTCTCTCTCTTTCTTTCTCTCTCTCTCCCTCGCTCTCTCTCCCTTGCTCTATTTCCATGGATGTGTATATACTATATGCACATGGGGATCTTGATCATCACGTTTGTCCTGTGCTCTGTGTTCTGTATCCTACCCATGATAACAGCATTGAGTCCGGCAGGACTGCAGACAACGTGTTTATAGAGCTCACCACTGTACCCAGGCCTAGCAGTCCACATGTAAACGGAGACATATCTTGGGTGAGTGCTACCCATGCTTGCATTCGCCTAGGTTTGACAGCAACAACCCTTACAACCCTTACACCCCCATAAACACATACACACATGTGTGCGCGCGCGTGCACACACACACGGGCACACATCGCGCTGAAACCCACTATTGACTATGCACCATGCAGACTTCCTCATCAGGTTTGAGGCAAACTTTGTCTCTGTTTGATAACCAAATGTTATGTTGTCTTCATGGATGCTAACAATCCCTGACACGGGACTCCAAGGAATTGCAATGTTGACTTCTTGGAATAGGAGTCCTCAGAAGAGGAGTTCCTGGGAGAGGAATTTCTGGCATGGGAGTCCCTGGTGTAGGAATCCCCTGCGAATAGGAATCCCGGGAATAGCAATCCCCTGAATAGGAATCCTTGGAATAGGAATCCCTGAATAGGAATCCCTGGAATAGGAATCCCTGGAATAGCAATCCCTGGAATAGCAATCCCTGGAATAGCGATCCCTGGAATAGCGATCCCGGGAATAGCGATCCCGGGAATATGAATCCCGGGAATATGAATATGAATCCCTGGAATAGGAATCCCGGGAATAGCAATCCCTTGAATAGGAATCCCTTGAATAGGAATCCCTGAATAGGAATCCCTGACTTGGGAGTCCCTGGAATAGGAATCCCTGGCAATTATTAGCTACTTCGAAGTATACAACTTTGAACCTGACCGAGGCCGGTTTGGTGGAGCGGCGGGAGGAGGAGGGGAGGGGGTGGGGGCTAGAAGTAGGGTGGCAGGGCAGTAGGCATATCGGCTTGAGACCGGGGAAGAAAAGCTGGTTTTCCGACTGATTCAGAACACTTGGCCACGCGCTCTGGGATTGGACACACGGTGCCTGACCCCCAGTGGCAATTTGAAGCACTGGGATCCTGGGAGGGTTCAACCATCTTTTCAGTTTAGCAGAACTACACTGAGCCTGCAGGCAACCTAATACACTGGCCTAAATTAGAGTGATGCCTGTTCAGCTGAACAAACTGGGGGTCTCCGCCAGCCATATCAGTGCATTTTTATCCTAACCCGCTGTGTGTGTGCATGCGTGGGTGCATGCGTGCGTGGGTACGTGCGTGGGTGCGTGCGTGTGTGTGTGTGTGCGTGTGTGTGTGTGTGTGTGTGTGTGTGTGTGTGTGTGTGTGTGTGTGTGTGTGTGTAGATACATGTGCATGCGAGTATGTGTATGTATGTGCATCTGTGTCTGTCTGCGATCATGACTGTGTGTTTGTGTGTGTGTGTGTGTTTGTGTGTTTTTTGGGGGGGGGGGGTGTTCGTGTGGTACTTCAGATATGGCGGATAGAGAAGTTCTCGGAAGCACAGGAGTTGGTTGCGAATGGCAAGTCTCCCGTGTTTACATCACAGCCGTTTGCAGTATCTGACGCTAGTTACCAACTCCGTGCTAGGTGAGTGATAAAATAACAACCCCATGTAGACTGTGTGTATGTATGTGTGCATGTGTATGTCCATCACTGCGTATCACTGTGTATGCATGTGTACAGTCAACTTCGCGTATAACGACACTCGGCACGGCATCAGAAAAGTGTCCTTATTCGCGAAGTGTCGTTATACCCGAAGTCTCGTTATATGTATTACAGTGGGATGGGACTTTGCTCTGGGCATGGAAATTCTGTCGTTATTCGCGAATTGTCGTTATATCCGCAGTCGTTATTAGCGAAGTTGACTAGTATCACTGTGTATGTGTGTATGTATGTGTATGTGTATGTGTATGTGTATGTGTATGTATGTGTATGTGTATGTATGACACTGTCCAACACTGTCTATAGACTGTACCGGCATGGCAACGGGCCTGGCAAAGGAAGCCACATGAGTGCCTATGTCCTCTTTTTGAAAGGTAAGGAAGCGCAATGAAAAGAATCCTTGGCTTGGCACAGCGAATTAGGGATGCACGGCGAATGAGGGATGCATAGCGAATGAGGGATGCATAGCGAATGAGGGACGCATAGCGAATGAGGGATGCATAGCGAATGAGGGACGCATAGCGAACGAGGTTTGCTTAGCGAATGAGGGATGCATAACGAATGAGGGATGCATAGCGAATGAGGGATGCATAGCGAATGAGGGATGCATAGCGAATGAGGGATGCATAGCGAATGAGGGATGCATAGCGAATGAGGGATGCATAGCGAATGAGGGATGCATAGCGAATGAGGGATGGATAGCGAATGAGGGATGGATAGCGAATGAGGGATGCATAGCGAATGAGGGATGCATAGCGAATGAGGGATGCATAGCGAATGAGGGATGGATAGCGAATGAGGGATGCATAGCGAATGAGGGATGCATAGCGAATGAGGGATGCATAGCGAATGAGGGATGGATAGCGAATGAGGGATGCATGGCGAATGAGGGATGCATAGCGAATGAGGGATGCATAGCGAATGAGGGATGGTTGGTTGGTTGGTTGGTTTTTATTTCACTTCGCACATTCAAACGGGATGACGACCCAATAAAATGACGGCGAAGGCTTAGCCTAGAAGTGGCTATGGAAGAACATAGTAAACGCTATGGAAGAACATAGTAAACGCTATGGAAGCACATAGTAAGAGAATAGGATACTAATAACTGCGGGTAAACGGGGGGAGAGAGAGAATACGATGTATCTGTGATACTACGTGCGGGTTACTGAACTGCACGGGGAGGGAGAGCAGAGCAATCAGCAGCAACTCGAACTACTCCCTACAGGCGTATGGTACACATGCATGCTTAAACTCAGGTAGCCGGGTAATTGTGCGGACCTCACCAGGGAGAGCGTTCCACAGCAGAGCACCAGCAACAGAAAATCTCCGCTGACCGCGGCGGCTACGGTTTGCCTGGCTTAGTAGGCCATTTGACTGCTGATGGCGGGTAGGGGTGCCTTGTGCCGGGGTCAGAAGCTGGGCGAGCACAGGGCTGGTGCGGGCGTTGATGCACCGCCAGATGGTGATCAATATTTTCTGCCTGTAGAGCTCGCTGACACGGTACAGGGAGTGAGCAGTGAGCAGCGGCTGCATGGCTGTCCGGGGCGGGTTGCCATCGATACAGCGGATGGCTCTGTTTTGCGTGGTTTGCAGTCGTTTCAGTTGACCCTCTCGCATTGCGGCTGAAAAACAGCAGGAGCCATAAAGCAGGTCGGGCATTATGACCGCCTTCACATACACCTGACGAGAGCGTCTTGATAGGCTTCGGCGTGCCCGCCACAAGGCGCCAATTTTCTTGGCAACCTTGGTGACCACATAGTTTACATGGGTGTCCCAATCTAGGCGATTGTCAAGGTGAACGCCGAGGTAGCGCGCAGAAGACGCTGAAGGGAGGAGACAGTCGCCGCTTTTGACTGTTACTTCCTGTACATGCTGCTGGGGAGAGATAGTCAGAACCTGGCTCTTGGTGGCGTTCAAGATAAGGCCTCGGGACTTCAGCCAACCGGCCAGAGCAGTTGCCGCTGTGGTGAGGGTTCTGGACGCTTCCGCCGCTGAGGCCTGGGAGTCGTACAGGGCTATGTCATCTGCAAATTGTACACTTGGCACAGGCGAGGAAACCAAAGGGACATCGCGTGTGTATATACTGAAGAGGACAGGGCCGAGAACAGAGCCTTGGGGCACTCCGCAGGTGCAAGCCAGAGCAGGGCTGGTTGAAGGCGAGATGAGGATCTGCTGCTTGCGGCCGGACAAGTAGTCGACGAACCAACTAAGGGCTTTTCCAGAAATTCCAACCGCAAGGAGGTCTTGAATTAACTTGTCGTGGTGCACTTTATCAAAAGCCTTCGACATGTCTAATAGGCACAGCCCTGTGGTCTTGCCACTGTCTCTCGCCTTCTGCAGATTATCAGTCAGCACACAGAGTGCGTCTTCCGTGGAACATTTCTTGCGGAAGGCAAATTGTGTTTCGGGTAATGCCTGGGTCAAGTCCAAATGACGAACTAACTGGTGTTGCACTACCCTCTCCAGCAACTTGGACACTATTGGGAGAAGGGATACAGGTCTATAGTTGGTGGGGACTGATGGGTCACCGGCCTTGTACAGTGGCACGACAGACGCCAATTTAAATGCGGATGGAATGGTTCCAGTCCTCAGCGAGGTGCAGAACAGCACAGCAAGAGAATATGAAAGCAAGTCAGCACACTGCTGTAGCAGAGAGCCCGGTATGCCGTCACTACCTGTGGCTTTCCGCGCATCCAACTTCTCAAGGAGACGTCGGACGTCAGCAGGAGTCACAGGATCAAGTTCGGTCAAGGAGACGGGTCCAGCGGGACCGTGCGGGGTACAGAGTTGTTCAGGACGGTTGGGATCGGTGACAATGGAGTGGAACGTGTTGGCCACCTCGCTGATGCTACAACTAGGATCTTGGCGGCGACGTGAACGCCCAGTGACTGCATTTAGAATGGCCCAAGACTTCCTAGGGTTGGCCACATTTTCTTCGCACTGACGGGAGAAGTACTCGTTTCGCTTGCGCCGATACGCGTTCCGAGCAGTGCTACGTGCTTGTTTAAACTCTGCATACAGTGTGCCGTTTGTCCTATCCTTCCGCCAACGGCTGTGCAGCCGCCGTTTACGCTGTTCGAGCTGGTGCAGCTCTCTGTCAGACCAGGGAGGTATCGCCCTCCGGGAAGGCTTAGAGTTGTGCAGCGGGGCATGCTTGTCCAAAACGTACAGGAACTTAGTGTGCCACTCTTTCCACATGTGATTTACATCATTGTGATCCGAAAAATCATGTAGAGAAGCCTCAAGGATATCTTGCCGAAAAGAGTTAATGTCAACGCCACGTATATTCCTGGTCAGCCGCGACGTCGTGGACGACGCGGGTGGAACGTCAACGGCAAGCTGAATAAAGGCTTCCACAGCGCTGTGGTCACTAATATCAGTGGGCACAACCGTTGCTAGGGACACTAGCGCCGGGTTGGTCAATATGAGATCGATCATCGTGCCTTCAGGGCACTGTGGAGTTTCACGGGTCGGCTGCATGACGATGTTCTGGAGGCCAAACGCAGCACAGAGGTCGGTGAGGTGTTTGTGCTGGGGTGCCGGATGGGCTGGGTCCATATTTACATTAAAGTCTCCAACTAGGGTCACGGAAGAAGACTGCACAGCTGCTCGTACAATATCTGCTTCCAAATCTGCCCAGTAAGACACTGGCTCCCCCGGTGGCCGGTACACGCAACCAACCAGGTGTCGACCTGGTTTTCCGTTTATTTCTACCCAGACTGTTTCTGTAGATTCAGAATGCAGATCTGGGCGGGATCGAACTGGGAGATCTTGACGGTAGTAGAAGCAGACTCCGCCACCCAAGCGTTGAGTGCGGTCTTTTCGAATCAGATTGTACCCGTCAATACTGAGCTCTCCGTCTGTAATCTCGGGATCTAGCCATGTCTCTGATAGACCCAAGATGTCGTACTGACGCGTGCGGATGAGGCTGGCAATCTCTGGCAGTTTGTATCTTAAACTACATGCATTGAGCGTGGCTATTTTGATGCCAGACTGAGTCGGCGTAGATGCATGGGGTATAAAAGGTGGTGCATGAGGATTGAGAGGGAGAGTCATAGTAGGGGCTAAAATGTTGATGCAGATAGATACAGACAAATGCGGAATAAGCCAATGAGACAAACAATGCAAGGCGCGCAACCTCTAACAACTTACAAGCTGTCCCTTCGCCTGCTCCCGAGCTTTCGCTGTGGCATACTCATCCGAAGCCTTGTGACGAGTTGACGAATGGCTTTGCTCTCCTCACTCTCAGGCACCTGGACTCCTTGCTTTGTAGCCGGAGTAATAACACGCGCTGGGAACGTGTGTTTCCCACGAGCCAGCTTGAAGCCTTGGTCATCAGGTGATGGGTGACCAGCTTTGCCTCTACTCATCGGGAACACGGGTGTGGATGAAGATGTGGGGGCAGTCGCCTCGGTTCGAGCACTCGTGCAGGGAGTGTGAACTCCCAACGCATTGGCGTACGTCCAAGGTTGTGGTGCATCAGGGACATGATCCTGTGCCTCCTTGTTCACACTGCCTTCTTGTTGCTGTTTTGCTGGTGTTGGTAGCGCTGCCACTTCTTGGTTTTCCTGCCCCTGCCCAAGTGGTTCTTGGGGTGGTTCAAGCTCGCTTGTTGACGTTGCAGCTCCCGGACTGGGCTTGGTGCCCTGCTGCGAGATCGCCCTGCAATCCCTCGCCACGTGGCCGGGGGTGCTACATTTCCAGCACGTGGGGGTCTGCCCTTTGTGCCAAACTCGCAGTTTGTACCGGCCTACGGTGATGGAGCTGGGGACAGCGATTGTGGGTACCATGGTGTAGTATACGATACCTGTACTGAAGGTGCAGCCCTCAACCGTCTTTTTCTCGTTTTTCGCGGGCCCCAAGAGTGTCCCAAAACGACTCAGTGAAGACGCAATGGCCGACAGCGCCATGTCCTCCGGAACTCCAAACACATGCACCGTTTCAGCAGTGCCATCCCCTGGCAACAATTCCAAGGTCTTCCCTTGGGCCGACAGTCCGCGGGAGAGCAACGTGTCACGGGCAGCTGTCGAGGCAAGAGTTACTTTGCACGTACCTCTCCTGCCCTGAATATCAATAACTCGGATGTCCGTGCTCCGAACCCCTGCTCCGAGAAGCAGCTTGACGAAGAAGGCATGGTCCTCTGACGCAAAATCCTTACTAAGGTTGATGCAGCAACTCCTGGAGGTACTGCTAGACATACTTGGGACATAAGCTAAGAAAACCGCAGAACGAGAAAATCTGCATCCGCACTCAAATTTGAAAGGTGCGCATAGCGAATGAGGGATGCATAGCGAATGAGGGATGCATAGCGAATGAGGGATGCATAGCGAATGAGGGATGGATAGCGAATGAGGGATGGATAGCGAATGAGGGATGGATAGCGAATGAGGGATGGATAGCGAATGAGGGATGGATAGCGAATGAGGGATGGATAGCGAATGAGGGATGGATAGCGAATGAGGGATGCATAGCGAATGAGGGATGCATAGCGAATGAGGGATGGATAGCGAATGAGGGATGGATAGCGAATGAGGGATGCATAGCGAATGAGGGATGCATAGCGAATGAGGGATGCATAGCGAATGAGGGACGCATAGCGAATGAGGGATGGACCATCTACACATAGCACAACATAGCACAGGGTAGAATGATGGTTGTCTTTCGTCACAAATAAATCTGGGTGCGGCTTATACTCCTGGAACGGTGTAAATAAAACGAGAGAGCTGAGTATGGAACTAATGCGAGAGCTACCAGCTGTCAGCTGAGGGTACTGACTATGCTTATTCTTCATCTAGGTCATCAAAAAGAGCGTTCCTCTGGTTGTGTCGACTCCACCGTACGGACACTTCATCTGAAAACAACTGCTCAAAGTTATAGTGGGGAAAGCAAGGGGTCCCCCTCCCGACATCTCCCAACCGACCCAGACCCCCTCCCAACCGACTTTTTGTTGTGTTTGTTATAGGGTCCCTACCAAATTCTAGGACACCACCGCACAAACTGATGCGTCCGACAGGCAGGCAGGGTGTAAGGGAGTTCCCCCTGTCAGTAGCAAGAAATACAGGGACTGTGGTAGCCGTAGAGCAGGCAATTGCAGCAATCGATGTGTGTGCATGCGTGTGTGTGTGTGTGTGTTGTGTGTGTGTGTGTGTGTGTGTGTGTGTGTGTGTGTGTGTGTGTGTGTGTGTGTGTGTGTGTGTGTGTGTGTGTGTGTGAGTATGCGTGTGAGTGTGCGAGTTTGTGTGTGTGTGTGTGTGTGTGTGCATGCGCGTGTGTGTGTGTGTGTGTGTGTGTGTGTGTGTGTGTGTGTGTGTGTGTGTGTGTGTGTGTGTGTGTGTGTGTGTGTGTGTGTGTGTGTGTGTGTGTGTGTGTGCATGAATGCATGACTGCATGAATGTGTCTGTACAGGTGGAGAGTATGATGCTGTGCTGGAGTGGCCATTCCCGTACTCACTCACATTCAAGCTACTGTCACCAGGTCATAGACATGAGCCTCAGCAAGCGGTGGCTCATAATGGCTGCGACGTGCAGCAGTTGCTTGGAAACACGTGCGCAAACTCCCCTGGTGAGCAATACTACATGCTGGAGTACAGTAATATCAGGGGGGGGGGGGGGAGAGAACTGGGGGGGGGGGGGGGGGGGTCAGGGTTCTAGCCTAGCCCGTTCTTTTTTTAGCGAACACAGCAGTTTCGTTCTTTTTCGATGGTACAGTCTTACATGTACATTTATGCAGAGTTATACGTCTGGGTGTACATTATAGGGTATATTACGGTTTCCGTTCTTATCGTTCTTCTGCGCTCGACAATACTGTGTTTGTGTGTGTGTGTATGTGTGTGTGTGTGTGTGTGTGTGTGTGTGTGTGTGTGTGTGTGTGTGTGTGTGTTTGTAGGTTATTGGCTAAGCGCACGTTCCTTGTAGTTCCTTGGTCCTTTTTTTCTTTTCTATAAATTGTTTTAACATTTGAATAGTTTGCAGGCAACCCGCCTACACTCAAGAGAGCACTGCATTTCACACAAATCCACTAGAAGTATCTTTTCAACGTTTCGGTCTTCATGACCATCATCCAGAATGAAGTGGACATGGAGAAAACAGCGGTATAAACAAGGAAACAAAGCGCGGTACGTAGTGAGAGAGCGCGCGCGTAGAAAAGTGCAAAGCACGTCGTGGCGGATTATTGCTTCCACGTCACCTGTTCAAAGATTCCTGAAACTTTACAATCATACCTCTGAATAGAATAATCATAACTTATTCACCCTACCATCACAGGGGTGTCGGAACTGGTGTGGCAGGTGCAGTGCATTTGATTTCGCCTATTCTGTAGAACCTGAGACTTGTTCGTGCAGTGTGGCCAAAGGTGCACCGATAATTTCCTATTCTGACTTTGAAGCAATAAAAATTAATATGAGCTATTTGGGCCCAATTTTCTCATGGGGAGGCCCACAGGATTCTCCCTCTCCATAGTTGCACCAATGTGGAAAATCCCCTGCCGCCCCTGCATTGTGTTATCCACGGGCCCTATACTCATAATTTCCCCGACTCACAATTTCCTGACCCGCAATTTCCTGAAGATGGTCAGAGCGACCGAACTATTGAGAAAGAACCGTCTGACTGTGTGAAATAGCAGTGCATCCGAGTGTTGGCCAGTGTTGCCACAATACAAGTTGATCACAATGAAGCTGCGTGAAGCGTCGTTCCGAAATTATAACACAATTTCTTGACTCATGATCAGGAAATTTTCGTGACTCCCAAATGTCCAGAGTTAATTCTATGCTCTATCCGGGTTTTCCCTCTGTAGGATTCGGTTGTCAGCAATTTGTCAACCTCTCTGATGTTGATATCAGCGACTTTATGTCGGACGACGGAGATGTCTTTATAGAGATCATTGCCATGATTGGCCGGGCGTAGGGCGTTTGCATTGTGTGTGTGTGTGTGTGTGTGTGTGTTTGTGTGTGTGTGTGTGTGTGTGTGTGTGTGTGTGTGTGTGTGTGTGTGTGTGTGTGTGTGTGTGTGTGTGTGTGTGTGTGTGTGCGTGCTTGTGTATGCATGCGCTTGTGCGGGCGATTGCGTGTGTGTATGGTTGTTTCTGTGAATAGCTATAGATGTGTGTATGAAGGAGAGAGAGAGAGAGAGAGAGAGAGAGAGAGAGAGAGAGGGGGGGTTGAGAAGGAGAAAGAGAGAGAGAGAGAGAGAGAGAGAGAGAGATAGAGAGAGAGAGAGAGAGAGAGAGAGAGAGAGAGAGAGAGAGAGAGAGAGAGAAGACATGCGCACACGCCTCAGTCTGTTCCTTACTAGGCGAATGCGATGTTTACTGAGTTTAGTGTCTGCTGGTAAGCTTGACCCTTGACATAGAGACCATTGTGTAAGTGATCACTACACGATTGGGTTCTGCTCAAAGTTGAAATCCCATAGCATAGATGATTTTGCCAGCTGATTTCTATGACTTTCTAGTGGGTACCTCAAATTGAAATTTCGAGAGCAGATGCTGTTCCGTATCTATGTCACCACTGATGGCTGACAATTGATTATTTTCGTACACGTGCCGCGCTCCCCGCATCGCTTACAGCGTGCTACTAGACAGTTTTGTCTTTGCTATTTATAACTGCACTGTACATGGCAGTGTATGCTCGCCTCTCAAGTGATACATCCGTGTAGCATACCTGCCGGCCATCCCGATTTTGCCGGGACCGTCCCGATATCGAGTTGGGAGTACGACATCCCGCCCGATGACCGAAAGTGGCAGTGTGCGATAGACTGTCAGTGCGTAAGGGAGGGATCTACTCATCTCCCCGGGATCCCCCTTGCACTGCAGTCGATCTACTCATCTCCTTTGTACACTGCAGTCGGTGGGAATGATCTACTCATCTCCCCCGTACACTGAAGTACACTGTGTCATGCATCTATATCTACTCATCTCTCCCCCCCCCCCCCCCCCCCCCCGTACACTGAAGTACACGGTGTCATGCTTCGTTCGCTTGGCAGCTACTGCTAGATTTTAACAGTTTTCCCGCACCGCCTGCCGTATTCCATAAGCAAGCTGCCTTTTGTATCTGTTTTCTAATGCTAGTGCTGCTGTTTTCTATGTTTTAAGATGTATATCAACCTTCTTCTTCTTTTTAAATGTGTGACGCCTTTAAAAGTGGTTAGAGAATCGCTGGTCTCAAGGGATGGTCCCTGGTTCTAGTCTGGGTTGTGACAGTCAATTTTTTTCTCTTCAGAAAATTTTGTAAAAAAAGACACAAAATCCTGCGTTCTGGGAACTTCTGGCACACTCCAGGCGCAGTGTGCAGTCGAGTCGAGTACAGTACTCACTCAGTACGACTGCAGATGCATAACAGATCTACGAGTACGAGTCTAGAAAATGGTCAAAGTCTGATATGCATACATGTACATACATGTATGTATGCATCGATGGATCCTGATTTTTTAATACGGTTTTGCACGTTCCAGACGGATCACACTTTTCGAAAAGTGGTACGGCCATGGTCGTACCAGTCGTAGCGGGTGCTACGCCCCTGATACATGTACAGTATGTGTGTGTGTGATCACTGTATTCGGTTCCCTCGTCTGTCCGGATATTTTGGGATCCACACGTTAGAGTTGTGCAAATGCATGTATAGTATTTCACGTACGTACGGTTAATTGAAAGGATCAATCAAGAGTCCAAAGAATAGAATACAGTCAGACCTCGCTTAGGGGTCGTCCACAAAATTAATATCGATATTTTTTTAGAGAAGATATTCGTTCGTTTGGGGGGGGGCGGGGTTTGGTCCCTGTTCGTCTTGTTCTTTTGAAAAAAAATCGATCTCTTACTTTGGGGCACTGGGCAAACATGCAGCCACGGTTGATGACATACACAAAGTGAAAGTCAACCCCAAGAATACAGCCATGGCAAGGTTGAGAGACTGGCAATGTAAACCAAGGTGTATGGTGAATTTGGAGTTCCTGTTCCTGTTGGTTACGTTTCGCAAGGAGATTACACTTCACTAACAAAATATTGACACCCTGCATAAACGTGTGTATGTTCGTTTTGAGGGGGGAGGGAGGGGGTCCGGGGAGATATGAACAAATATCGTCTTGAAAAAACTATCGATATTTACGGACGGCCCCTTATCCGGAAGAAAATCGTTGGTTACCGATTTACATCACGATGTCATGCATACAGTTATTGTTGTTTTGTGGTTTCGATTATTACTATACTCAAGAGTACATAACCCCCCAGGGCCAGGGGGTTATGTACTCTAACCCCCCAGGGCCAGGGGGTTATGTACTCTAACCCCCCAGGGCCAGGGGGTTATGTACTCTTGCTATACTGTATACATGTATCAACTGTTTCTAGCTCCGGTCCGCTGTCATGTGTGTCCGTGGGTCTCGGTCGGCATACCATCGTCCAGCTAACGAGCTCAGGGAGCTGGCAGTGGTTGAAAGCCGGATCTAAAACCATTTGTGTTTTAGTGTGACTCTCGCCATTCCGGAGACATATTTTCCACACCTGTGTAGTATTTTTAATATTATCTTCCTATCATACCCTGGTTTCTCATCATTGTGTTGCTTTTGCCCGTACAAGAGGCTTTATCGCAGTACAGTAAATTAATGAAAAAAAAAAAAAAAAAAATCAACTGTTTCTACAACATTTGGTATACATGTACATGTATAGACGCATGGTATTTTTGAAATATTTCAAATTTGGTTGGAGCTTTTTGATAATTTTTCTCCAAATATTGCTCGAGTCCTTCCCCCAATTATTTACTAATACATGTACTCTTTTAAAATAAGTGGTCGTATATCGCTGATAGCAAACGGCCAATTTCTAAATTTTTTATGCACAAAGCGATCACAGATTATATGTGGTTTACATGTACAGTGCTGGCCTAACGGTTTTTTTTTAAATCAAGCGTCTATATTTTTGAAACGCACTGTATGTAGTGTGAGGGGGCAAGTGCACATACAAATGCACCATATTTGGCAGGCAGACGCAGCTCAATTACCTACAATTGTAATATTAGTACACGTACACATCCTGTATAGGGCTGGTTGTAAGAGTCAAACTTGCCAAATATGGTACCACAGCGTAGTTGCACATGCATTGTACAAGTGCATGTAACAGTTGCCCGACAAAAAGGTGATGGCCGGCCATCTTCAATGCATGACGCATGGTACCTTTTTTGCCTGTGCTTCTGGTCGTCGCCAAAAAAACTTTAAAAAAGTTTCCGGACACCTCGGCAAACACCACAGGGACACAGTATTTAAGAATGCATAGGCTAAGATTTCGGACACACACACACACACGCGTGCACACACACACATACATACGCGTGCACACACACACATGAACATAGGCGTGCACACACACACACACCACACCATTGGACCATAGGATGCCCATCGTCGGAGGCGATGATACAGCAGAAGCCATAGCAGCTTGTGCTGGGATTGCACCATTCAACAGCTTGCAAGGCTGAAGAATTGACCGCCACTATTCAGCCTGGTCTACACCACACAGCTATGAAGTGGTTTTTTCTGGCCAGTGAATCCCTACTTTTTGGTCTTTTTCATTTTTTTCACGCACACATACACAAGTCACACCACATACTCCGGCATGCACTGGCTGTTGGTAACCACCCAGGAGAATGAAAGAAAAGTCAGGAAGAGTCTGAGAAAGAGAAGGAAGACGTGTGTGACCATAATCGTCGGGAATCGAACCTGCAACCTCTCGATTGGAAATCGCTGCACATACCACTGCACCATATGGCACACACACACGCACACACACAGTGACACACGCACATACGCGAGCACACACACAGCCCCCCCCCCCACACACACACAATGCTGGCAACAGCTGTCAAAATGAGTGTAAACTTGTATACAGGTGATGGAGGCGCAGGTCAGCACGCGACGGGCACGATTCAGATCGAAAGGATATTTGTAAAATATAGAGAATGTTTTAGATACAAAAACAAGACAAAATGCTGTATATACGGCGGCAAACAGCCAGTTCTGAAGATTCAAGTGAAATATTTAAAAAATCTACAGCAGGCCGGAACGCTAAAAAATTAAAAAACTTGATAGATGAAAGTAAAGAAGGGTGTGCGTGCGTGCATCCACGCAAGTTCACACATCCAAATAAATGTTGATACGTGATCTTGCAGGCATACATGCGCGCACCCTTGAAATTGTGCATAATTATAATATCAAAATAGAGAGGGCCAGAGGTTTACAAGACTAGTAATGATATCACTTGCTGTTCAGTGCGCATTGTAGTTGGCCAGTGAATTCATCAGGCACTGGGGAACTGTGTGCTGGGCACAGAGTACAGTGCGATACAAAAACTCAAATAGCTTTCTAGGTCTAAATACAAACCCGTGTTCATGCCGTGTAACCAGTAGTTTCAAAGAAGGTTTCAAATTTAGAACAACAAATACTTGATAGACTGCTTCAGATAAGTGGCATGAAATGGAGAGAGAGAGAGAGAGAGAGAGAGAGAGAGAGAGAGAGAGAGAGAGAGAGAGAGAGAGAGAGAGAGGCAGACAGACAGAGAGACAGAGAGAGAGAGAGAGAGAGAGAGAGAGAGAGAGAGAGAGAGAGAGAGAGAGAGAGAGAGAGAGAGAGAGAGAGAGACAAACAGACAGACAGAGAGAGACAAAGACAGTGTGGAAATATTAATCGGCTCGGGGCTACTAGACAAGGTTCCAACGATAAAACATGACGAACAGAACTCGTCACTTTGTGCCATTAGTGCAGGAGATCTTCTAGCAAGCTATGTGCCAGGCTGTGAGACAATGTCCTGGACTAAGCCATGTCAAGTGGTCGATTGTGCTGTGGCGGTATGCTTGTGCATACATTCCGTCCCCTCTCGTCTGCTTGCTTGATAACAGATTTGGAGCGGAGACATCACACATCTCACAGTTACAATCACTACTGGATTGGCGGTACAGGACACAGGTAAGCACTCTGCCATCGTCACACCCCAAGCCTTGTAAAGAAAAAGCGCAGTGAATACGCGTACGTGCAAGTGCAAACGTATTACGTCACTGTCCGCCTCACGAGCACGCGTGCACACACACACGAACACACACACACACACGAACACACACACGAACACACACATAGACACACACATGCACACACAGATTGCCTACTGGTTGCCGACAATACTGTCTAACGTCGCCGACGTCCACACAGTTGTCGCACACGTTTGTACACGGCTTCGTCACTGATTCCAAACATCTTCCACTCCTTGTCCAGCTGCGCCACACAGCCAAATCCTGCAACAAATCCGTTGAGGCGAGCAGCGGGCGTGGAGTTCATGATCTGCTCCTCTGTCGTCAGCTTCAGGGCACTGAATACGTCCTTGTTTCTCTGCAGGATGTACTTCTGGTGTGCTGTACCAGCTGGCGTGAACGACGTGTCCTTACTGATGTACATAGCACGGCCTGGGTGCTGCTTCTTGCTCTCCTCCGCCAGCAACTTCTGCTTTTCATTGAAGATCACCACTCCCTGCATGGTGTGCTGCCAGTAAATCTGGAGCAGCTCCTCGTAACTGCCGCGCCTCGGGTCGAAAACCACCTCGATGGCCTCAGTCGACGCAGCAAAGCCCACGCGTGTGCGCAGCACACCTTGCGTGCAGCCGAACTGCGCCTCGGGGGCCCAGAATCACGGCAGCAGGAAGATTGCTGTTTCGGTGATCAGCTCCAGCGTATCAGGAACTGAGGGGCTCCGCGATTTAGGTCGGGTCATCATAACAGGCCTTTTCGAAATGGACATCGAGCGCAGGCGACCAATAAGACTACCGCCTCTGGGACTCCGACCAAGGCCATCATCCAGCTGTGCCATGTTGGCCAAACCAAGCCAGAACTGGCAGTAAACGACTGATTGGGCAGATCCACAAACTGCTTCGGAAGCCTAGCCTGTGAATGCAGCTCTCCCTTTTGCAGAAAGATCAGCTCAAATGGGTCAAATCCGGAAAGAAGGTTCAATCAGCAACGGAAATGTCAGTCCAGATCATCAGGAAGTCGTAAAATACCGGCATTTTAGGACTCGGGATTCAGAGATTTTTGAGACCCTTTGGATGGTCCGCGGCGCTGCCCTCGGGCTCGACGGACCAACAATTTAATTTTATTAAACCCGCTGTGTTTACATGAGAAATTTCAACCCGGGTCGAGTTCAGCCCGGGTTGAAAGTCTGTACGATAGACAAAAGAGGTGAGAGCGTGTCAAAATTTAATACTGATATGCCGCCAAAAGCCCACTTCTACACTACAGTCCTGTATGGTCACGTGAATCCGTTCGCGCGAAATTTGCATCTGCAGTGCTGTTCAAACCTGGCGCGAGATACGCACAGAAGTTACGTTTGTACGATATTCTTGACCCGGGTTGCTTGGGGGGAGGGTTGAAATCAACCCGGGTCAAGCGCAATGCGTCATGTAAACGCGCCATTCATTTTGTGCACATGGCGGGTTGAAATCTGACCCGGGTCGAACACAACCCGGGTTGAGTTCGACCCGGGTCAGATTTCAACCCGCCATGTGCACAAAATGAATGGCGCGTTTACATGACGCATTGCACTTGACCCGGGTTGAAATTTCGCCCCGGGTTGATTTCAACCCTCCCCTTGTACATGAAAACCAGAGTGTGCAGCTTGGGGCCTTTTCTGCTATGGGTGTCTGTCACGGCGAAATTCCGTGATTACATCATATTTGGCCCAGATGAGGCGGGAAATGGCGTAGTGCGTACAACTGAGCTGCAGTTGTGCAGAAAGAGACCTGCTTGAATCCTGCTTGTACGCACTACATCACTAAAATGATGTAATCACGGAATTTCGCCGTGACAGCCACCCGGTACCCATTCGGGATATCCGAGCTGCACACTCTGGTTTTCATGTACTCTTGGTTGAAATCAACCCGGGTCAAGAAAATCGTACAAACGTACTTCTGTGCGTATCTCGCGCCAGGTTTGAACCAGGGAGTAGTACCAGTACCTGGTTTGAACGGCACTGCAGATGCAAATTTCGCGCGAACGGATTCACGTGACCATACAGAACTGTAGAAGTGGACTTTTGGCGGCATATCAGTATTTGACCCGGGTCAACTGTCTTCATGTAAACGCTCACCTCTTTTGTCTATCGTACAGGTAGACTCCCTCTAATTCGAATACGGTATAATTCGAACCTTCCGTGTAATTCGAACTTTTTCGTCGTACCGATCTTCTGCAAGTCACTTCAAGTCAAAAAAAACATTTTTTCTAGCTTGGTAACCGGCCTCTTGTACGGGCAGAATTAAGGTGGCTCACACCCTCTGCGCGCGCATCGTTTGAAAAGTGTAGATTTTCAGTAAATTTTTCGGTAGCGATGATTTTTGTGCGATAAATCGTTGTAGGAAACGTCTTCTCGCTTTTCTGCAATTCTGGCGACCTAGCTAGAACCTGCTGCTAGTGTAGTAGTAGTAGTAGTAGTAGATTTTATTATTTTACTAGGGGAGTCCCAACAGGCGTTGCCTTTTTACTGGGAACCCTAGGTGAATTTTTACCATGTTTACATACAGAGTAAGAGACGGGGCCTGACGGCAGTCAGTGGGAAGAGCATTCCATCTGTCTGCCGCCAGGAAAGAAATAGAACGCATGCCATATTGCGTAGAAACAGGCGGAAGAACTAATGCGCGCTGTGCCTGGCCGCGCGTGCGAGCCTGGTGTCCAGGCAGAGCAGCCCTAAGCTGGAACAAGGATTGGAGAAGGGGACTAGCAAGATGTGGGGTCAAGCAGCGGTACACGAAAACATAGAGTTTAAGATTTGTGCGCTGTTCAAAAGAATAGAGATGATATTTGCGGAGAACAATTTCAGTAGACATCATACGGTCAAACCCAAAAACTTTCTTCATTGCTATGTGACTGACCATCACGATTTTATTGAACAGGGTGGCGCTGAGACAGTGCAGATAAGCGTTACTGGCATAGTCGAGAGTCGATTGCACAATGGATAAATAGAACGTCCTCTTCGCTTCAGGTGTTAGGTTTTTTCGGCCATGTCTGAAGGCGGCAATCTTGCCGAACACCGCACCGCAGACCTTCTCGACTTGCGGCTGGAAGGTGAGATGCTCGTCGATGAGTAGTCCGAGATACTTCACGGTCCCTCTTCACTCGTTCTTTCTATGAAAGGGGAAGGCAGCACTCGCAGAAGATTTTCCAAGAATGCAATGTCGACTGGTGCTCGTACTATAAGAAGGGAGAAATCAAAGTCCGCTCTTGAATCACGCCTGAGTCTTAGAAAATTATTTCAGAATACGCTTGTGTAGATTTCCTGCCAGTGCCACTGACATCTCGCGACCTTCAAATATAACTTGCTCGATCATCTCCCGCACTGACTGGTAAATTCGTCGGGTAGCTGTGGATGGATCGATTCAGGGAGATCGAAGGTAAATACATCGAAGCACTTCAAACACGTTTCAAGACGCACTTCAAATTTTGTAATTGTGTCTTGAAAATTGTTTACAACAATTCGTACTTCAATACGCTGTTGAATTGTATCCTCTGCTTGGGAGTCTCGACTGTTTTATTGCTGCATGGCTTTCCTCAACACCGTTCACTGTACATGTATCGCGGAACGCAGATTGGATGGCATTGGAGGTGAATTTGATAATATTTGTGACTGTGTCATCAACCAAGTGAGGACATCAAATATCAACAGGGACGCTCCGAAAATCACAAACGCTGCGAAATTGGTATGAAATGGTCTTACACACTGGTGGGTATTCCACATTCATTGTGTCATATCTTTAGACTCCGAAAGTTTGTCGTGCCGTGCAGCTTTCACAGACTAATCCGATAATTGGCATGTGGCCCTATCGGCACACACTCATGCATATGCCGCTGAGTCTATCTATATTTGCACGCACATGTGTGTATACTTACACAATTTTATTACGTATGCAACATTAGGCAATCTACATGTACATATATAGATGTGTGTGCACTCACTCCTATGACATAGAACGACAGTGCAGGCTATGTAAAGTCGCACGAATGTGTGTTACCCGGGTGTGTACATGCATGCGCACTCGCGCGGGCGTTTTGTGTGCGCGCTTGGCATGGCATAACGCCGTTCAATATGACTAGTGTTGAACCGTGGTAATTTGTCCCACCCCTTCTTTTTTCTATTGGCGTTGGATATGCAACTAATGACATAAACTCGGTTGTTGAAAACGAGTGCCATGCACCACAATGGATTGACAATAATATAATACAAGTAGCGCTGTAAAAGCGCTGGTAATACTCATGTTGCAGCCATTAGGCCTTGACGGATTATGCTAGCATAATTTTTCGCATAATTTCTACCAAAATCGAATAATCGCATAATTCGAGGCAAATTGCATATGAATCGCATAGATTGGAATAATCCGCCTGTTCGCATCAAATTCCATACAGTTGTACATGTTCTACAAGTACAAGTACAAGTAGATGCACCAGGAAGTCGTAGGTTTACGACTCCCTTGATAACATGTCCAGTCCACTACAATCAGTGACGGTTGTAGCTAGGTCGGACGCGTCCGGACGGTGCGGTGACCCCGTTGAACTTTTGCTACTACAGTACAACGCCCTCAACAAAACAATTCCCCTGGTATTTTGCAGAGAATAGGCCTTGACGGATTATGCTAATATTTTCGTGAAATTATGCTTTTCGCATTGCTGAAAAAATTGCAGAATTATGCTATTTTATGCTAAAAGTTATCATATTATGCCGCATTATGCTCACATATGCTGCTAATGCATAATGGGTCTGGTCAAAATAACAGAGGAATTTTTTTGTAGAGGGCGTTGTACTGTAGTAGCAAAAGTTCAACGGGGTCAACGCACCGTCCGACCTACATGTACCTACGACCATCACTGATTGTAGTGGACTGGACATGTTATCAAGGGAGTCGTAAACCTACAACTTCCTAGTGCATCTACTTGTACTTGTACTTGTAGAACATGTACAACTGTATGGAATTTGATGCGAACAGGCGGATTATTCCAATCTATGCGATTCATATGCAATTATAGCAATAAAAACTGCTTTATGGCAGTTTTCTAAAAAAAGTTATTGTGTTCTAGTCCATGGACCCCGTCTAAAAAGTAAGAAATTACCGAAATGTGATAGCTGAAAATTAAAATTTCACACAAAACCTCACAATAATCACAACACTTGAAATGCTGCTTTCAACTTTAACTTGTACTGCACCAACAATTAGCAACATGCATGCATAGGAAAGAGGATCACGAGGGGAAAAGGTCTTCTACATGTAGCTTTTAATTCTATGTGTGATTATTGTGAGGTTTTGTGTGAAATTTTAATTTTCAGCTATCACATTTCGGTAATTTCTTACTTTTTAGACGGGGTCCATGGACTAGAACACAATAACTTTTTTTAGAAAACTGCCATAAAGCAGTTTTTATTGCTATAATTTCTTTTGTTTTTTCTGTCACCAACAATGGAATGCCCTAAATCAAGAGTACATAACCCCGGGGTTATGTACTCTTGCCTATATCAATAATTATGGAAATGATGGCCTTCACATCATATCAAGAGGTTTATGTAATCTTGATCATATCAATACCGTATTATACGCATTGATGTGCAAGCCTTTTCTTGCAGAAAATGCCGCACTAGCAGGA